TCGGGTCCCTTCCGACCCTAGAAACTATGAAACTATGAGACCCTGCCCACCTGCTCTGACTGTGGTGGGTGCAAGGTGGATGGGCTGGGTGCCTGGGTAGTGGGGCTGGATTCACTGGTAGTGGTGACACTGATAGCAGAACCAAGAAGGAGCTGCTGCCACTGGGGCTGCTGAGAAGCTGAATCCAGCTACCACATTGCCTCAGCCCTGCTGTGCACCTGGCAGTGGTGGGACTGGCTCTGCGCACCACAGCTCAGCCTGCTCCTTGTGCCTGGGCCAAGCAGGGCAAAGGGACCCACAGCAGGCTGGATAAAATTCCTTGGTGGGTCGCATTTTGCCCACCTGTGATCTAAATGGTGATAAGTGGGGGGTGGAGAGGGTGGAGGGCTGTCTGTAAGGTAGGGGTGGTCTGTGTGTGTGTGATATTTTTTATTAGATCAACATACTAGTTAGAAACTCTGCGCTTGTCACCAATGCTTTCTTCATGTCAGGGGGCCCCCAAAGCTATGCCTTGCAGGGGCTCTCCAAAAATTGTGGGCAGGCCCTGTCGCTAAGAGGAGACTGGACAAGCACCCTGCTGGGGTCATCTGACCCCAGCGCTCTTTCCTGCCCAGGGCAGAGTGTCGGACTCGATGAGCTACCAATGTCCCTTCTGACTTAAAAATCTATAAAATCTATGAAAATCCTTAAGATACTCATTTTTTTTAAAGGAATTTCAAGAGTTTGTTACAGAGAGTTATGTAGTACTTAACAATGCATTGGGCTACCTTTTTTTGTTTTAGGCCATCGTAGAATGCCTCCTTAATTCCAATATTCAATATGAATTCAAAGACCAATTTTCTAGTTAAAAATATTAACTGCAAAATAACTCATTATTGACTCTCCTAATGACAGAATAGAGTACATTATCTTGGATTACCTCCATTGGAATGGAAATATGAAGTTATACTCCCTCAGTAAAAGATACCTTGTAATAGTACTCTGCATTCACTAGTTAAGATTTGTTAGGAGAAGAATAATGAAATGGTGACTTTGTATATCGTGTTTAGGCAGTTCTTTGGGCAGAGTTGATAAATAAATTTCTTGATGTTGCATTCTTCGGAAAAGAAAACTTAAGCAGTAATTCTTGACATTTTTTAAATCATTACAGATGCTTGAAGGGAAAAACTTTGTTTCCTCCTATCTTTGTTTATCTTCCTATCTTCAGGTAGATGAAGAATCCCTTTAAAATGAGAAACAAAAAGAATATTTGGAAAAAGGCAAACGATATGGCCTAGATAGTTGCTCAGGGACTTTCTTAGTGTTTTATACTTACCTTTTCAGGAAAAGTGTCTGGATAATAAATATACATTCAGCATCCTGTGAAATCAGAAATAAGGAAATTTGATACTCTTAACTGCTAAAGTATGTGATGTCTGAATTCCTCTCCCCCCCCCCCCCCACCCCGAAAACTTTTAACTTGGCCAGTTACATGTACTGTATATCTGCTTTTCTTTTAGGATTACCTGTCATTAAAATATTTGCTAAATGAGTGCACTATGGATAGAAGGCTTGGAAACTCACAACTTTTTGGTATTTGAGTTTAAATCATTTTTAGGAGATGACTATAAATTATTTTTTTTCAACTAGTCAATGGACTTTGGAGAAGGAACTGCGGAAAGTCTGGCATAACTTAGAAGGGCTAAATTGCAACATGTTAGGCAATATTAAAAGCATTTTATTAACTATTGTCAAGCATTGCAAAAATGTTAATACAAAAAAGTATGATGGCTGAATTAAAACTAGGCTTTTCCATTTAATTTATTTAAAATAAGAACTAAAATATCATTTATACTGCTAGTGGCTTATACATTTGGCTTCTGATCTCTTAAAGTGGATGTAAAAGTAATCATTACCATTTTTTTTAACAAAGCAGCTGGAGTGGATCAGACTTCTTTTAACCCCCCCCCCCCCCAACAAAAAAAAAATCCTGGCAAAATTTATACAAAATAACACTGAAAATACAGCTTTTTTTTAAAATGTAGATTATTTAAAAGGCATTGACTGTAACCTTGAATGAATATTAACTTCTCTTGATGTTGCATTTATCTATATCTCAAACCAAAGCCATCATTTGTTAGCTAAAAATAGGGAGAATTTTTTTGTGAAATGTAGTACTTGTATTGTCCATCTTCCCCACTTATAAATAGATAAGCACCACTTATAGGTACCAGCAACTAACTGTTGACAGTTTTTTTCAGTTACTTTTCTTAGAATCATAGAAAATTGGGATAGGAAGGGACCTCGGAAGGTCTAGTCCAACCTCTGCTCAAAGCAGGGCCATCCCCTTCTATATCATCCCAGCTAAGGTTTGTTTAGCTGGGTCTTAGAAACTTCCAAGGATGGAGAGTCCACAACCAGGAATCCAGAGTCTTTTGATATTTATCATTTTTACTGGACTGTTATACTTATAATAATGCTTGTTATTGTTCTTATCCATTAATTATATTGTTTTTTTCTTCATTGTACAAATTGCTGGTTGATTAATACATTTTAAATGGTTGTTTAACTACGGGTCTGTTACCATCTATTGCCAATACTTTGTTCAAATCAAACCAGGCTGTGGTGGTGGGGAACTAGAGTTGAAGTGACTGCACTCCCATGTGTGAGAGAAGTCTTTGGTAGAGGCTAGCTGGATAACCACATGATTTTTGTAGCAACCTATTCCCGCACACAACAGTTAGGGGGTGCTGGATGATTGAAAAAGAGCAAATATAGTGCCTGTCTTTTGAGAAAGGGAAGGAGGAGGATCTGGGGAACTACAGATGGGTCAGTCTCACTTCAGTCCCTGGAAAAATCATGGAGCAGATCCTCAAGGAATCCATTTCTAAGCACTTGGAGGAGAAGAAGGTGATTAGGAATAGTCAGCATGGATTCACCAAGGGCAAATCATGCCTAATCAGTAGGGCTGTGCGAAATGGTACTGTTCCATTTTGACTTCAGTTTTGAGGTTTGGATGGAACAGTGTTTTGTTTTGAATTTCATTTAGAATTGAAACAGCTGTTCTGTTTCACTTCATCGAAACAGTGAGGCTGTTTCAATGTTTTGCCTGACCATCAGGCTTGGGAAAGGAACTCGGCCCAGCTGGGCTGAGGCCCCAGCCCCAACCCCAGCCCCAGCCCCAGCTCAACCATCACGCTTGGGCTCTGTTTCTTTCCCCAGCCCTATCTCAGTGCTTGGGAGGGGAACTGAACCCGGGCTCAGTTCCCTTCCCCTGTGCTGTGATCGGCTTTCTGCAGCCTGGCGGGAGATGGGGAGAGCCAGAGCTGCGCTCCTGAGTATTGCTGGGAGCACAGCCCTAGTTTTTCCCCTGTTTCCTGCCACTTTGCTGCTGGCTGCTTCAAAACTCAAAATGTTTCAAAACTATTGAAACATTTCAACTAGCCTCGTTTTGTTTTGAGGATGTTTCAAAGCCCTTTGTTTCCCTTCAATTTTGCTGTGTCAAGCTTGAAATGAGTCGAAAAAGTGTCGAATTGAAACAGCTGGTGAAGTTTTGCACAGCCCTAGTAATCAGTTTGGTCAGGCATGATTTGCCCTTGGTGAATCCATGCTGACTATTCCTAATCACCTTCTTCTCCTCCAAGTGCTTAGAAAAGGATTCCTTGAGGACCTGCTCCATGATTTTTCCAGGGACTGAAGTGAGGCTGACCTATCTGTAATTCCCCAGATCCTCCTCCTTCCCTTTCTTAAAGACAGGCACTATATTTGCTCTTTTTCAATCATCCAGCACCTCCTAACTGTTGTGTGCGGGAATAGGTTGCTGCAAAAATCATGTGGTTATCCAGCTAGCCTCTACCAAAGACTTCTCTCACACATGGGAGTGCAGTCACTTCAACTCTAGTTCCCCACCACCACAGCCTGGTTTGATTTGAACAAAGTATTGGCAATAGATGATAACAGACCAGTAGTTAAACAACCATTTAAAATGTATTAATCAACAATTTGTACAATGAAGAAAAAACAATATAATTAATGGATAAGAACAATAACAAGCATTATTATAGGTATAACAGTTCAGTAA